GAGCGGCCGGGCAGAGCCGCCGGGACCGTGCAGCCGGAGCCTTGCTGTGGGACACACAGCCCAGTGGTGCTGTCCCCGAGATGGGATCGCAGGGGCAGGTCAGGATGGGGCCACAGCCACCGGTGTTAACAGCGATGCTGGAGCTCTGGGTCAGAAACATCAGTGCCCGTAGGGACGGGGTGGTGCTGTCTCTGCAGACTTTCTTGTTGGGGTGCACTGAGCCTGCAGCACCCCAGTTCTGCATCACCCCCTTGGGAAGTGCCATCCCAGCCTGGGGTGACCATTCCACAACCCTCTGGCTGCCCAGAACACCATGTTTCTGTTTTGCAGGAAAAGATCGGGTTTGCTTTTCTCTTCCCAATCTGGAATGGGAACAAATAGTTTTGAAATTTCCTTCTCAGTTTCCTTTCCTCCCCTGTTTTTATACTTTTCACATGATTTCATGACATAATAGGACAAAGCAGTTTAGATATTTGCCCTGCTTTTTATTTGGGAAATGATTAAAAGCAGTTGCTTCATGGCCCTAAATAAACCAGCTTATCAAGATGTCTGCTGATGGGGTCAGGATGACACGCAGAGTTGGGCTGTTGCACCACAGGCTGCCTGTTTGTGTATGTGTATATAGATGTTCATGTATATTCATAGATATACACGTATACGTGTATATGTATAGCTAGTACTGCCCTCAACATGCATAAAATAGGAACTAAATTAAGGAGACTTTCAGCTCATTTGCTGGTTTGCCCTGTAGAGTGCCAGCAGCAGTAGCGCAGTGTGGCAAAGAGAATAGAAACCATCTCACTTAAAACTCAAATGTCAGACCATGCTGAACTGCATATTTTCTCAGCCAGAATCACTTTCCAATGAAAATGCATTTCCTCTGGGAATCCTTTATTTTTTTCTTTTTTTTAATTGAGATTTTTTTTCTGTCATTACCACATTGACCTTTACAGCAAAAAATGTCGAGGTGACAGCGGTGGGGAAGGGAGCTGTGATGGTGGGGTTTGCGTCCTGCTTTGGGTTGCTTTGAGAGATGCTGTGAGTGTTAAAGGGTCAGATATTTCACAGTGGTGTTTTATTAGTTGCTCTGGCACTGGGGCAGGGGTCGAGCAGTGTTTTCTCCATTCTTGACCCCCGAGGGCCAGCACATCCCAGCTGCCTCTGGGACGTGCAGGATGCTCTGGGGTGGGAGCACCGCTCCTGTGAGACTCTTCAACGAGCCTTGTCTCTGTGCCAGATCGACCTCCGGGACCAGAAGAAGGTGACGGGCATTATCACGCAAGGAGCCCGTGATTTCGGGCACATCCAATACGTGGCAGCCTACAAGGTGGCCTACAGTGACAACGGCACATCCTGGACCCTCTACCAGGATGGTCAGACAAACAGCGCCAAGGTGTGTGGGGCAGCGACCTCCCGGGGCTCGGGGATGCCGCTGTGGGGAGGGATGGGATGGTGGCGAGGAGGTCCCGGTGGTGCTGACACCTGCCTTTCCCCTGCTAGATCTTCCACGGTAACAGTGACAACTACTCACACAAGAAGAATGTGTTTGACGAGCCCTTCTACGCCCGCTTCATCCGCATCCTGCCCGTGGCCTGGCACAACCGCATCACCCTGCGTGTGGAGCTGCTGGGCTGCGACGAGTAGGCACCCGGGGAGGAAGGACGGGGCTGCTCTTCCCGGCTGCCCGGCCCGTGCCCTGCCTGCCCCTGCCCACTCCTGCTCCGACCTCACACCCCCCTTTCCATGTCCCCAAACTCGGGAGGCAGCCGGAGGGCTCCCTGCCCCGCGTTGGCACTGGGGCCGCAGCACTGCACTTTACAGGGCCCTTCAGGTGGGATGTGGGGACGGCTTCTGCCCTTTCACCCTGCTGAACAGGGTTGAGACCCCCTCCTGCGACTGGGGCTTGGCTGGGGACCCACTCCTACAACTGGGCCTTGGGGGACCCCATCCTGCAAAGGGGACTTTGCTGGGGGACCCTGTCCTGCAACCAGGGTTTGGCTGCATCCTCCCAGCTATGCCCAGAGACAAATTTTTTCCCCCTTTTTTGCTTCTGCTTCCAGCAGAGAGGCTGCAGCCAGCAGCAGTCCCCTGCCTGCACTGGGGCTTGGGGCTCAGCAGTTTTGGGGGGGCTTAGGGCAGGCACCCTGGGCTTGCAGCCTCTGATGTCCCTCCTGCTCCCTGCATGGCTGCAAGCAGGGGCTCTGAAAAACCTACTTGGGTCTTGTCCCCTGCCCATTTTTCCAGGCCCTGGGTCTTCTTGCCTGCAGTGTCAGCACTGCATAGTGTGAGGGGAGTGATGAGACGCCTCCTGTCAAGAGGTACTGGGTCCCCGGTGGCTCTACCCACTGAGGAACTGCTGGCAGGCGCCGTGGTTGGCATTTTTGCAGGCGCTACCCATTCACCTTCCTGCGGTGCTGGCTCCAGCATCCTCAAAGTCTCAGCATTGGCACTATCCCCACCTTACTGCAGTCTGGGATGCCTTGAAGTCCCTTGTCCCGAGCCAAGCAGTGACATGGAGGAGGGCTGCAATCTGGTAGCGGGGGAGAGATGGTTTGTAGCCACAAGGGTGCAGAGAAAAGATGGGAAAGGTGGTGATTAAACCAACCAAATGCAGTAGGCAGAGAGCTGTGCTGTGACCCTTTTTTGTAACCTGATATTTTCCCTTTCCCTGGGGTGGAGAGGAGCCTCTTGCAATGCTCGAGCCCTTGGGATTAGTGGTAGGAGATGAGGGAGACCTGGCACCGGCAAGCGGGAGTGCGGGCAGGGTGTCCAGGCAGCGGCACTGGCAGCGATGCTTCCCCCACCTGCTGGGGTGTGAAGCAGCCCTGGGGCCGGACTGGCGGTGGGTTCGCTTTGGCAAGTGCTGAGGGAGCCCGGGTGGGATGGCGGCCCTGCTCTGGGGTGTCTCTGACAGTATTAAAACCAGCTGAAACTTTGGGGCTGTTGGTTGCTCTGTGCCTACCCGAGAGCCATCTCCCAAAGCCCAGCAGGTCCAGCAGTCCCCCAGGATCCCCTCTGAGCCCCCTAGCTTCTCCATCCCAGGGGGCTGCTGACTGCTGTGCTGATCCCACACCTCTCTTGCTTTCACAGACCCTCCTAGCTCCATTTCCAGCCTGAAAAACAGGGTACCAGGGCTTTGTGCACCTTCCCTGCTGCCTCCGCCCTGTCGCAGCTGCTGGAGCCTGTGCTCGCAGCTGGCCAAGCTCAGCGGAGTGGGATTTGGGAAGTGGAAGCTGCTATCAGCACCCCACACCCTGTGTCTCCTCCTTTGGCTTTGATCCTGGAGAAAATCCCCCAGCTTGGAGCAAAACTGCTTTTACACCCCAGTGTGCTCCCAGGGCTGGAGGGAGCTGTGGGTTTGCCAGGGCTGCCTGCAGGGATGCTCCTGGCAGAGTCCCCTGGGCGGGTCAGGGGAGAGGATGCTGCTGGAGTAGGATCCCCCTGCATTGAGGACGGGGTCCCTGGTAGGGAAGGAGCAGTGGGGGTGGACAGAGGAGCTTTGCTCCTCTACAGAGTCTTCTGCCACACCGGGCAGGGACCGCTGAGGTTGGCAGGAATGGTCCAGGGCCACCTACATCTCACCACAGCTCTGTCCCCACAGCTGTGCAGAACCTCCGTGCACCTTCCCACTGTTGGCAGTGCCCTTCTCAGCCATGCACCCCCTCCCTGGGCTCTGCCTGTGGGAGGTGGGCTCCTGCCTGGCCCCGTGGGTGCCAGCCCCTGGCACCAGAGGCGCTGGCGGGCTGCCTGCAAAGACCGCACTGAATTCATTGCGGCTGTGGCTGCTTGGTGATAAATAGCAGCCACAGCTAGAGCCAGGGTTGGGAGGGGGACAGTCAGTCCTGTTCACCTCTAGACATGCCACCCTTATCGCCAGGAAGCTGGGGCAGAGATAAGAGCAGCTCTCTCTGAGTCCAGCCAAGACAGCCCCGAGCTGGGGGCACAGCAGAGGCTCCATGGAGAGGGTGACGGGAGCAGATGCCATGTGTCAGAGCAGGGGATGCATCCTCAGCACCCGGCTGCTGCTTCCCCCTGCCCGTTGCCAACCCCCAGACAAGCCCCTCTGATGGACGCTGAGCCCCTTCCCAGCTCTGCAGCGTTTCCTTCCTCCTCTGGAGCCCCAGGATGGGGGGGTTGGTGAGGGCCAGGGTCCCCTCCACGTCACGCACAGCCCCTCGCAGGGCTCTTCCCGGACGCGGCTGGGTTGCTGGGGCAGCAGGAAGGCCAGGAGGGCCGGCACGCTGTGGCTGCGGCACCCTGCTGCCTGCTGACTCGGCTGCCGGTCCTGCCAGCTGCCCGTGAGCCGGTTCCTCAGGAAGCAGCCGTCGGGGAGAGCATCCTCTCGCCTCCACCCGGAAAGCCCTGCACAGATCACAGCCTCCATCCCACCAGGAACAGGGGTTTTCCTCCCCTGTTTGCACCTTGGGCAACAGGTTCCTGCTAGAATCGTCCTGACCAATTTCAGGGAGAAATCTCTCTGGTGAGGCACAGTGGAGCTGTCAGCTGCTGAGTTTGAGGCGGGGAAGACAGGGATGACATTTTTATGGCTCCTGTTCAACGAAAAACTCAGCCAGCCCTAAACACATGCCCTAAACACGTGCTCCTGGGTCAGAGCTACCCTGACCCTGCACAGCCTTGCTTACCCGTGGTCCCACCCAGGGTCCCCCTCAGGAGCAGAAAACAAATCTGGGATCATCCCTGAAGCTCCAAAAATAGGGTGGGAGGCAGGAGGGAGTGAAGGGGATTCCTTGGGGGGCTGCTGGTGGATGGATCCTTCCCGATGCTGCCCACTCCCCAGGAGGAGGTGGAGGGCATTGGTGGCCACATCCACACAAGAGCTGTGGCTGAGTATGAGCCATGAGCTGTTGCTGAAAAGAGATGCAGAAAAGCATCCTTCTCCCTTTCCCCACTGCTGCTCCCTTCCTCGGGCCAGAGGATGGCTCCTGGCAGGCACGGCGGTGCAGGCAGCACAGGGCAATATGTGGCTTGTTGCTCAGCGCTGAAACAATGGGGCGCCCACACCAAGGAGCCGCATGCCTGGATGGGGCTGTCCGTCTGTCTGCACAGCCAGTGGGGTGGAAGGAGCTATCCTGATTGCTGGCTCACTGAGACACAGACAACTTGGGCAAGCAACATCAGGGGGGCACTGGTGGCCAGGATGCAGCTGGGACGCCATCCCACCACCTCTTCTGGCCATGGGGCAGGGCTGGGGGGACCGGGGACCCTTGGCTGGGATGCAGGCAATGCATCGGCTCCGCGCTGCCCTGACGGGAGATATAATCGCCCCTCCATTGTGGGCTGCAGAGCAGCCTGCTCCGGGCAGGCAAGCAGGCAGCGTGCCCGGCCGTCACGCTCCCCTGTCCCTGGGCAGCCCGGCCCTGCTGTGTCCCTCCTTGGGAACAACTGGTGGGCCCTGGAAAAAAGAGAGCAAGGAAGAGCAGTGTCTCCAGACCCTGGGTCCTGCAGCTGTTCGCTGGCGGGGCTTCCCACGGGGGACTGGGCTTGCTGGGCTGGCTCTGGCAGCAGATAACGCAGTTTCCATGCTGGCTGCTCCCTATCAGCCTGGCGGCAGCGGGCAGACAAGATTGCACCCTGAGCGCGCCATGCCAGGGGGCTGTCAGGAAGGGGTCCCGGCCCCCTTCACCCCACAGCCAGCCCTGATGTGGTTTATTTTTACACGAGTTGTTTTCTTTCCGGCTTGATGCTGTCCCACACGGCGGCAAGAGCCGGAGCGGGCCCCCTGCGCCTCATTTCCTTGCCATAAAACAACAAAGCGGGGGGCGAAGCGGCGCGCCTGGCTGGGGCGGCGGGTCGCCGGGTCAGGGCACACGCCGCTCCGTGGTTCCTCCATCTGCTCGGCCCCACTGGCCGCTCTTGGACCAGCATCCCCTGGCTGTGCTGCCGCCGTGCTGCCCTTCCTGAGGGCTGGATCTGGGGCTCTCGGAGCCAGGGCTGTGTGTCTGTGTGCCATCGGGAGTTGGCATGGAGGGCATCATCCATGTCTAGGGATGATGCCCCCTCTGATGGGTGCAACTGGGCAACCCAAAGATTTTTCCCTGCTCTCTGTGCCTCTGCTTTGCCCCCACAGCCCCAAGCAGACCCTGAAGAAGCTGAACACTGTGGCTCAGCTGCCTCCCCTGGACCCCGGAGTGGGCAGGCACTGTCCTCACACTCCAGGCACGGACCACCCTCAGCCACAGCCCACCCGTCCTGAGCTGCTTGTGCCTGTGGTGCTCCTGCCACGGGCGTGCTCAACACCACCATTGCCTGGGGACCGTGGTCAGTCCCTCTGGTGGGATGTAGGGCAAGGGATGGCTCTTCGCCTGCGACACTGAGGCTTCACTGGGGCTTTGCATGGTTGCATCACGGGGTCCCACTGGCCCCAACAGGTCACCCTGCTCCCCGCTGCTCTCCTCTCCAAGCTGGCGGCAGTGCAGGCGGATGGCACATCACAGAGGACGCATGTGGGCAGCGTGCGGGCAGTGTGCGGGCAGCGTGCAGGCGCATGGTGAGACCATTGCCCAGGCACGGCGGGCGGGCGGGGGGCTGGGGGCAGCCACCCCATCTCCAGGCTGCGAGCAGGGGGTTGGGAAAGGCGTGTGTTTCCCTTTAAGAGGCAGGCCCTGGAGCTGCTTCCTCTCAGCCCTGCAAGAGCCCTAAACACAGTGCATCTGCCTGCAGCCTGCCTGCACGCCTGCCTGCAGCCTGCCTGCAACCAGCGTGAGTAGGGCTTGGCCCTGGAGCCGGGGCTGGGGAGGGCTGGCACCCTGGGGTGGTGGGCATCCTCCTTGCCGTGGAGGGCTGGAGGGCTGGCACTGCCAGGGAGGGTACCGGGCATCACTGCGGAAGGTGCTGGGCATTGCTGCGGCGGGTGCTGCAGCGTGATGCTCACTGGCATTGTGGTTAAGGATGCTGGGCCCCTCGGCACGTCACCGGGACGCTGGGCTCTGGGGGGTGGCTAGGCATGGGGGGCACAGGGGAGCCAGGGCTGGTGCCCCGCAGACGGAGATGCGCAGCTGCCGGTGCCTCGAGCCTGCCGTGCTGCGGGCGGGCAGCACGTGGCGACGCGCCTGCGGGCGCTGGTGCCTGCAGAGCTTCGCACCGGGGCCGCCCGCTCCCGGGGCTGCGCTGGCCGTCGAGCCCGTGCATCCCACCCCCGCCAACACCGGCTCTGCAGACCTCGGCAGGTGTCAGGCGTGGGCTGCGCCCCCACGAGAAGGTGAGCAGTGGCACCGACCGCGGAGGAGAGCCCTGTGACGAGCAACCCATGGTGGGAGCAGCCGGTTGCATGTTCTGGCCCGCGGAGACCACCACCGTACCCCATATGGACCCTGCCGGGGGTGAGCCCCTGCTCTCCCACAGCCCCCTGGCCTGGGGCATCTTTGCAGGCGCTCCTAAACCTTGTCTGCCCAAGGGGCACAGATGTCAGATCCCTGCCAGTCTTGGAGGGGGGCTGCTGGAGGCTTGCCGGGTGCTGGGCCCCCTCTGCCGCTCCGGGAAAGCTCGCAAGCCGGCAAATAGTGCTGCGAGCCGCGCTGGGTGAGCCCCATGCAGGGCATCCTTGGGTGCTCGGGGCACCCAGAGCTCAGGCAGCGCGGGTCTCTGATGCCACGGGGCAGCCGGGCTTCCCCCCAGCCGGGGGATGCGCTTTGGGAGCGAGAAGTGTTGCGTGGGGTCAGTGCCAGCTGGCTACTGGGGTGCAAAGCAGGAGCCCTGGGTTGGAGGTGGGGGTCCTCGGCCAGGCTGGCTGGGTGCTGCCGGGCTTTGGCCAGTGCTGGGACAGTGGAGGCAGCTCCAAGCTCTCTCCTCCTCATCTCGGCTGGTTTGCACGCTCGGCTGCCTCTGTAAACTGAGCTTGTGGCTTACAGCGGGGCTCGGGCACTTCTCTGCCCCTGCACCCCCTACGTGATGTTTTCCCAGTGCTCTGTGTTCAAAGGACACCCTGGGATCCTATTTCCCCAGGCTGCCCTGTCCCCAGCTTGGGCTCTGCTTCCCTCTCGGGGCCGGGAGCTCTGCAAGCCCAGCAGTGAATGCGGTGGTGCGTGGTGACGTGACCCAGGCGGGAGGATGAGGATGGAGGGGACCAGGAGCCCTGGTTGTGGGGCAGGTCCGAGGACACAGCTCGGGTTGCCTGCACCCTCCCCTGTGGGCAGGCGAGCTGCTCTGCCGGCTCTTCCCGCCCCTCTCCTTGCATCCCTGCAGTGAGGTCTACCCAGCACCACGTGCCGGGCAATGCTGGGGTGCTCCCAGTAATTTTAGGGTGTTATCACAGCCCTTTCCCCCTCCACAGCCTGGGCTTGAGGTTTGGCCTCGCTCCCCAACCATGCTGCTGCTCCTGCTGCTCCTGGAGGCCACCCTGCTGCAGCTGGCCAGCGGCTCCCACCACCCCTTCTACAACGGCTTCTACTACAACCACATCATGAATGACAAGGGCAACGGGCAGGACAAAGGTATACTGGGGATTGGCAGGGCTGGCAGAAAGGGGGGCTGGCAGGTTGGCACAAGGGGCTGGAGTCCCCCCTGCCTTTGGATGGGGCTGGGACCTGTCCTGTGGGAGGGATGTGGGGCCTAGAGGAGCAAGCAGGGATGCTCCAGGGATGCTCAGGCAGAAGAGGTGGTGGCAGGAGGGAGGGAGCTGAGTGGCTGCAGGGAGATCTGGGGATGCTGCCCAGCCCTGGATCCTCACCTCCCCATCACGCCTTCCCTCCCTGTCCCCAGTGGTTTACTTTAATGGAGCCAAACTGGTGGTGGAGACCCCCAAAGACCCTGTCTACAGCTCCAATGGCGCCAACGTCACCCTGCCCTGCCGCTACCGCTACGAACCCGACATGGAATCCAAGCGCAAGATACGCATCAAGTGGTCCAAGCTGCGGGATGACTACACCAAAGAGCAAGATGTGCTGGTGGCCATCGGCAAGACCTACCTGGCCTTCGGGGACTTCCGGGGCCGCGCGCACCTCCACCAGACCAACCGGCGTGAGGCCTCGCTGGTTGTCAGTGATGTGCGCTTGCAGGATGATGGCAAATACCGCTGTGAGGTCATCGATGGGCTGGAGGACGAGAGCAACGTGGTGGACCTCCGGCTGCAAGGTGGGGGCACAGCGGGGACCGCGTGACTCCCTGTACCAAGCCAGTGCGCCTGGCCTGCCTGTGGCACCCCGTCCTTGGGGAAGGTAGCAAGGCTGGGCATCTGGGGAGCCCAGTTGTGGGCAGAGAGGGGCTAGGAGGCTCAGTGTGATGGGCTGGTGGCTTGGGGCTGTCTGACTGTGGGGTCTCAGCAGTGAGCGATCCAGAGCACTCTGCCCAGCCGGGATGCTGGGAATGCTACTGTGGAGTCAGAGTTGGGGTGACCCCATGGCCGCAGCATTTCCTGCTTTACCCACCCATTTTCCTGCTGTACTGTGTCATGTGCAGCCGCCCTTGTGCCTCCCACCTCTGGGTATTGCCATGCATCTTGTGATGAATCTTGGTGACTGGTCCAACCCCTCTACTCACTTGCCATGAGGAGCCTGACTCAGCTCTGGCTCCACTGATGAACTCAGAGCTGCAGAAATGTCCCCCTTGCTGTGTCCCTGCCCACCCCCTCGGCCCTCAGGCCCTGCCTCCCATGGTGGCTTGTCCCCTCTGGTCCCTGGGACTGTGGTCTGTGGGTGGTGCACAAGTTCCTGTGGTGCATCCATCCCCGTGACAGTGATCCATCCATCCATCCACATGCTGGCAGTCCATGTGTCCCTGGGATAGTGGCCCATACGTCCCCATGATGCTGGTCCTTGTGTCCCTGTTCCTGGAGCTTGCGCATCGCTGTGACGATGGTCCCCCCCATCCCCACAGGGGTGGTCCGTGCCTCCCTGGGACCACTGCCTGTGCGTCCCCAGGGCCGTGGTCCATACAACCCTGTGGTGGCAGTCCCTGCATCCCCTTTATCACCGTCTGTGCACCGTACATGCAGGTGCCGTCCCCACGAGGGTGGCCCGTGTGTCCCCAGGCCCGAGCCCCTGTGTCACTGGGCCACCAGATGTCGCTGGCAACTCGCCGCTGGCGCCTGCGTGCCCCGAGCAGCCCCATCCCCGCATGCCTGAGCCTCGGGCTGTGCCACCCTGGGCTGGTCCCTGTCCCAGAACCTGAATCTGGGGTGGGTTGGGGACCCCTGCGGCTGGACTCGGGGCGGGTGGGCTGCCCACGGAGCCGCTGAGCGCCCCGTCTGCCCCCAGGCGTCGTGTTCCCCTACCAGCCTCCCCGCGGGCAGTACAGGCTCAACTTCCACGAAGCCGAGCGAGTGTGCCAGGAGCAGGGCGCCATCCTCGCCACCTTCTACCAGCTCTTCCAGGCCTGGAGCGAGGGACTGGACTGGTGCAACGCGGGCTGGCTGGCTGATGGCACCGTGCATACCCCATCCGACAGCCCCGCAAGCCCTGTGGTGGGTTGCACCTCGCCCCGGGCATCCGCAGCTACGGCCCGCGACACCGGCACCAGCACCGCTTTGATGCCTTCTGCTTCTCCTCTGCACTCAAAGGTGGGTGCTGGGCCAGGGGCTGGGGGGGGTGTGATCCTGGGGAAGGTGCTGTGCCCCGTTGGTGGCATCCCTTCCCCTTAGGGCACAGGACGCAGCCTGGGTGGGGATGCTCCAGGCAGGGATGCTCCAGGTGGGATTGCTCCTGCTGATGCTCAGCACTGATGCTCCTCTCTCATGTTCCCCTCTCCCTCCTAGGAGAGGTTTTCTACCTGGACCACCCAGCTGGGATGACGCTGGAGGAGGCCAAGCAGAGCTGCCAGGACGTGGGGGCCGAGATCGCCCGGGTGGGGCAGCTCTACTCTGCCTGGAAGCTCCTGGGGATGGACCGCTGCGATGCCGGCTGGCTGGCGGACGGCAGCGTCCGCTACCCCATCACCAAGCCCCGGGCCAACTGCGGCCCCGCAGAGCCTGGTGTCCGCAGCTTCGGCTTTCCCAGCAAGGAACTACGGACCTACGGCGCCTACTGCTTCGTGGGAATTAGGAACGCCGGGAGGAGAAGTGGGCTGAGCGGAGGGGACGGCGGGGGGACGCTGGCCCTTGTTACCTGGGCGGAGATCTTGAGGCGGGGTATGAGGGGGGGTGTCTCCTGGTGACTTCGGGGGGTTCGTGCATCCTCTGACGAAGTGATAGAGCTGGGTTTGGGTGCTCGGGGCATCCTCTGACAGAGCTTTGGGCTTGTTGGCTGTTCAGGCCTTGCTGGAGAAGCCAGACCCATTGCTGGGCCAGGAAGGGGCTCTAATCCAGCCCCCCCAGTAGGCAGCACAAGCTCCCTTCCCCAACCCCAGCACATCCCTCGCCCCATCCTTGCTCCCCGCAGCCATGAGGACTCTGCCTGGTGCAGACGAGCTGGAGGGCCGGGCATTAATGAGCGTGACTAATGGAGTTTTTCCTTCTCAATTAATAAAGCGACGGTAAAGCTGCACGGCAAAGCCACGCTCTGACTTGTCCTCTGCCCCCCCGGGACCGTTTGGCCTCTTGACGAGAGGAATTTGACAAGGACTTCCCGTCTCATGCAGCACGGGCCCCCCCCCGGCCGCCCTGTCCCGGGGAGTTATCAGTGTCCCTGGCACCACACACCGGGGGTTTCTGAGTTTTGTTGTTTGACACCGCCAGGGTGAGCTATAAAAAGCACCAGAGTTGGCACAGCACTGGGGGAGAAACAGCGTGGGAGATGCCAGCGTCCCCTGGCACCGGCAATCGGTCCCCCGCCTCCCGCGTGTTTGCCAGGAGCTGCATCCCAGCCCGAGCCCTGCCTCCTCCTCAAGGCCAGGGACACTTGGGGCTGGGCCTCCTTGTTTCGGTTGTCCCTGTGCCCAGACTGTGCCAGGGGCTCCCCGGCTCCACGATGGGTGCTGCCACACTCCCCATTTGGGGCTGTGCAGCTCTTGCCTCTCCCACCCCCACGCTGGGGCTGCCCCCAGTGACCAGGCCATCGCTCCGCACCATCCGTTTACTGGTTTTAATACCACAGAAGCACAGAGAGAGGGTTTGCTTGACACGAACCCACTCCAAGCCTTGCAGCAAGCAGCTTTTACCTTTCCTGGGCAGTGCAGAAACAACACACACACCCCTCCGCACCCCAAGACAGCTGCAGCACAGCTGGGATGTCCCCGTGTCATGGTGTCACAGGATGAGGACCCTTGGGCTAGAGGTGGGAGAAGGCAGCAGAGGTGACGCTGGCACCTCAATGCCACCACCCGCCCGCGGTCCCCGCCTTGATTTCAACTCTTGTTGTGACTCCAGGAACAAAACTCCTCTCGTGCTACATTTCGGGTCGCTGTCGGTTCCTTTCGAGGGGATCTTTAGTTATTAGGATTTCTTTGTACAGATATAAAACAAACAAGGAAGCAGACACCCAAAAGTGAGGTTTCATGCCACACTGGGGTCCACGCTGGTGTCCCAGTGCCGTCCCCATCTGTGCCAGCTCCAGGGACCAGGGAGGTGGTGGCTTCTGCCCTGGGGACTCACTCAGTCATCAGGGAGCTGAGCCAGGCCTGGGGGGGGGAACACAAGAATCCTCAGGTGAAGGGAAAGCCCCAAAGACAAATGCTCAGGGGGGAGTGAATGACTCGAGCGTGGCCAGAGAAGGGCAACGGAGCTGGGGCAGGGTCTGGAGCACAGGTCTGCTGGGGAGCGGCTG